CCCAACAATCTCAGATACAGAGATTCCCAACAATCTCAGATACAGAGATTCCCAACAATCTCAGATACAGAGATACCCAACAATCTCAGATACAGAGATACCCAACAATCTCAGATACAGAAATAACCAACAAGCTACTTCTACAACAGACCCTGAAATACATGGAGTGCAAACAGCTAAGATACCCTTGGTGACAAGAGAAGGCACTCAAAAGTGTCAAAACTTGTCATATAAAGCTATGACATCAAGAGTGTGGTCATGCCATGTGTGGTGCACACCTTTAATCCCAGCACTCTGGAGCAAAAGCAGGTAGATCACTGTGAGTTCAAGGCCGGCCAGAGCTACATAGCATGACCTGTCTCAAAAACAGAGACAAACGTGTGGATTGTTTGGCTTTACATTGTGTGCCAAGCATCGTGTCTGCTGCAGCACACAGAGAACAGTGTGGGGGGAGTAGGAGGCACGTAGCTTTCTGCTGATACTTGCCATAGGTGAGGGTGCAGGTGGCTTTCCCCGCTGTATCCAAGGCAGTCAGGCAGGGGGCTTTAGGCTGTGTTGTGCCCCAGAGCTGCAGTGCAGCCAACAGAGACAGCGGCCCAGAAGTCCCCACTGACAGAGGCTCTCCCTTCAGAACAGCCATCTGATCCCCCTCAGGCTTGGGCTGATTCGGATCTGGTTGCTGAACTATAAAGTAATGAGACATTTTACACTACCATGTACACATCTGCTTACTAACAATTGTACTTTATGATTTCACTTTGTCACCAAAATTATAAAACATTTATAATAAGTAATCTGCCCAGAGTCACAGACAGATTAACCAAAGGACTAAAGCAAGATCAGTTACAGACTTATTATTTTGAAACCAAAAAAAAAAAAAACTCTTCCCCATTCTGTTACCCACAACCTCATATGATAAAGGTGACCCCAACCACTTCTACCTTCCTCCCCTGGGGATGCTCTCTGACATGGTGGTACCCCAGAGCTCCAAGGGAGAGACAGGAAGGCTTTAGAGCCTGAGAAACTGGTCCTAGAGACAAGTTCACTTAAGACCAACTTGACAGAACCACTCTGCAGTTGAGCATCAGAACTACCAGCACTGGGGGCTAGAGAGAGTAGCAGGTGGTTAAGAACACTGTCGCTCTTAAGTCTCAGAATCTATTAACTCCAGCTACTTCTCTGACCCCCACAGGTACCAACCACACAAATGGTACATATATATGCATGTAGACAGAACACTCACACATTAAATAATTAAGAACTAAATAAACACATTGGCATCATTTGGGAGGACAACATAGGGGTCTATTTCTAGGGGTTATGCGTCAGCTCTGTCACATGGTCAACAGAGCTGCTCTCTAGGCTGCAGGCATGGCTGGTGGTGGAGTACTCAGCTACAAGTGTGAGGTTCTGGGTTCAACTGCCAACAGCTCTGATGTAAACAGGAAAAGAAAACCCGCTGGCTGAGCAGGGTGGCAGCCAGCTGCAATCCCAGCTCTGAAAAGGCTCAGGGAGGAAGACTGCAATTTCAAAGCCAGCCTAGGTTAGGGTGAGCCCACTGCCCCTCAAAGGCTGGCAGCTTGCTTTAAGAAACACATACTGTGAACTCTAACTTGTCTCATTATACAGGACGACCAGGTTTCTGAAAAACAGACCTTCAGGTATAGAGGAGATGCCCATGCTGGCCACACTGCACAGAGGCAAGGTAGTGAGGGCTAGTTGTGTGTGCCAGTTGTCTACATATGCGCACACACACACACACACACACACACACACACACACGCATGCATGCGCATACATGCCAGCACTGGCTTATTTCTGTGCTCTACAGGCTTTCTCTTCCTTTTGCTAGTTTTCTTTAAAAAAAAAAAAAAGTCTGCATCTTTCCTCTCTAACTATATATTCCTTTATAAATGAGAGGCTAACATTAGGAGAAGCCAAAGATAAGTTAAAAACCAAATGCTTTAAAGCCATGGGATGACGAGTAGTTTGGACTTAATGTTTAAATAAAAATTTAAATAATCTAAAATGAAAATTTAAATAATCTAAAATGAAAATTTAAATAATGTAACATCGGAAGTATTTTTATGAGGCGCTAACCAGCAGACCAGATGTAGAGAGATGCTGAGTCACCTTACCATGAGCTGTGTGTTTCCTGCCTGCCCGTGCACAGTCAGTGTGGGTCTGCACTCACCACTGCACAGGTGACCAGTGTTTTACTGTGTCACCGCATGAAGCGACTCACGGGAAATGTACGTCTGCCTGTCTTCAGACTCTGTGGCCACAGTATTCACGAAAACAAGCAAGACCAAGTCAGGGAACCCTACCTTCCAGTAACTCCTCAAAATCATCCACAAAGAACTCCTTCAGAGGAGGGCGCTTTGGCCTCTTCAGGGTATTCAGCAGCTGCTGGATCTTGGAGGACACTCTGCTGTTCACAGGCACACCTGTCAAGGGGAGAGCAGAGAAGGACTGTGTCACACCGTGGCCGCTGGAGCACATGAGTGTGAGGTCTGACGTCCAGTTGTTCAGTGGAGCAGACCTACAGATCCAGCCAGGTGCTGCTCCTATCAGTTGTCTTAGGCTGTGCCGATGCATTTGACAAGCATTTACTGGACATCTTTCACGAAAGAGGATTTGTTCTGAGCTAACAGTTTATAAAGCAATCCCAAAATCCTGTGGGGAGGAGGGCAACTCCACGGCCCTTTCAGAGCACATGTCAAACTCACTGCAGGGTCTTATCGGAATGTAATCTATGGATACTCGAGATATGGTTCAATGGTTAGGGCACTGACTGCTCTAGAGGACCTGGGTTCAAATCCCAGAATACATGGTAACTTAAAACCATATGTAACTCCAGGAGGATCCAATACCCTCTTCTAGCCACTGTGGGCACGGCATGTATACAGTACACAGACATTACACACAACAAACAATATACATAAAAAAATAAAAAGAAGTAAAATCTCAAAAAATATTTTAAAACGAGACTATAATGTACTTTTCCTGCTCTTCTGCAGAGGACACATGTCTGGCAGCAGCAGACAACAGAGCCAGTGGTGGGAACTTAGATGCTTCTGTCAGGCAGACACCCACACAACAGCAACACCGGTGGTGTCTACTGTGACAGAAAATCTTCCTTGATGTGAGATTTATGCCAACATGCGATGAATTCAATGCAATTAATTTACAGTATTTTAGTTCAGTGTAACCTAGGCATGGTGACACATGCCTTTAATCCCAGCTCTTGGGAGGCAGAGGCCTCTCTATGAATTTGAGGTCATCCTGGTCTTCATAGGCGGTTCCAGACTAGCCTTGGCTACATAGTGAGACCCTATCTTAGAAGGAAAGAAGAGAAGAGAGGAGAAAAAGAAGAGATTTTTCAGTTTAAGTTTAGGTTTAAAAAAAGAGTAAATTATTAGGGCTGAAGAGGTGACTCCACAGTTAAGAGCACTGGCTGTTCTTCCAGGACTCAGGTTTGATTCCCAGTGCCCACACGGCAGCTCACAAACATCTGAGATTCCAGTCCTAGGGGATCTGATGCCCAATTCTGACCTGTATCATCAGATCTAAACAACACCTTCCCTATTCCTCTGTCACTGCTGTTTCTTCCCAACTTCATATGTAAAGTGGTTTTTTAACTCACTGAGTCCACGTAATGTGGCCAGTTTGTATAGAGGTCCAGGGCCATTAATGGGAGCATGGACAGTCTCTCTCAGGGATCATATGACTGAGGAAAGTGACTCTGTCCACACCAGTCAGGAGTGGGACCTTTCAACAACCTCACCAAGGCCTGGACCTGGCCTGGCTTGACCTTGGGTGGATCTTATGCACTCCGTCACTGCCGCTGTGGTCTTTCTCCTCAGACCCTTTCTCTCTGGCTCTTTGCTTTCTGGCAACCACAATACTACATGTTCCCACCATGATTACCAGCCTGGCCTCAAGCCTACAATCAAGGGGCCAAGTGACCAAGGACTAAGACCAAACTAAACCCTTTCTCCTTGGGTATTCTGTCAGAACCAGGAAAGGTAACAGAATTCATGTTCAGTCGTTGTTCTACTGCTATGGAAAGACACCGAGACCACGGAGACTCTTAGAAAAGAAAGCACTGAATTGAGGGCTTGCTTGCACTGTTAGAGACCTAGTCCTAAATCATCACAGTGGGAGGCAGACAGACACTGCTGGAGCAGTAGATAAAACTCTGCATCCCGATCTGTAGGCAGCAGGCAGGGGTTGGGGGGGTGTGGGGGGGCTGGGAGGACCGTCTGAAACTTCAAAGCCCACCTCTAGGGACACACCTCCTAATCCTTCTAATTCTTCTCAAACAGTTCCACTCCCTGGTAACTAAGCATTCAAATACACTAGCTTAGCTAATGGGGCCATTCTCATCAAGCCACCACACTATATAACAGATGAACTGAGAAAGATCACGCCTACTACACCGCTCCACCTTGCTCCTCCTCTTAAAAGATGACCATTTACATTGCTTTCGGGTTATCCTTCCTGTGTCCTACTACGAAGGAGTACAGACGCAGTCCTGATTTGGTATCTTCTATCTTATACAGATGTGGATGGCGACAGACGTCTTTTGACTTTGCTTCTCCATTCAGTGCCACTTAGGAAAGCACTTCAACAGGGTGCACAAAGATCCTTCTCGTTCACTCTGCCAAGTACACGGTCCTCTACAGTGTGAACCTATGACCTGTCCCGAGCCAACCTGCGAAGCTTCAAGAATTTTATAGTTTCTAATACAATTAAACCCAGTGCTGCAATGTATGACAGTGTGCACATCCATCTCCTTAGTGTTGCAGGAATAGGCTCAGAAAAAAAATTCCTAAATTGGTTTATCTGCTGCGTTCGTTTCTTTCCCTGCTGTTGTGACAAAATACCCTGACGAGAGCAATTCACAGGAAAAGGATTTATTCTGCGACAGTTTAACAGGATACTTCCCACTTTAGTGAGGAAGACTTAACAGCAAGAGCTTCAGACAACTGGCTTCATCGTATCCACGGTTTAGAAGCAGGGAGTGAGAAGAGAACACCCTCGGTTGCGTTCTCCTTCTTATGCAAACCAGGAGCCTAGCTCACAGAATAATGCTGCCCACATCCAAGGTACACCAGCCCCACCTCAACTAACCCCACCTAGACAATCCCTCACAGGCACGCTCAGAGGTATCTTTAGATTTTCTCAAAATACAACTTTTCTAATTTTTCCCCTATGTCTTTGGTGTCACATCCAAGAAAATGCAATCTTATTAAGTCGACCCAATGTTTCCTTTTGATGGTTTTATATTATTTGGCCTTTGATCCATTTAATTTTTGTATGTAGTGTTAGAGAAAGGTCTAAGTTCAGGGTTTTATACATGGATATCTTAGTTTCCAAGCACCATTTGCTGGAGACTGTGGTTTTCCTATTGAATGATCTTAGCATCAAGTGTCAAGACATGTGCAAGCACATGTGTGTGCATACTCATATACAGTAAATAGATAGACAGATATGTGATTTCAAAAGCATCTGCTCATACACATGAGGGCTGATTTATGCGTTTTCTGTTCTGGTCTGGGGATGTAGAGCGCTGTCTTCATGCTGGGCCTACACGCTCTGATTGCTCCTGTCCTGATATCAATTTCAGAAACATGAGAGTCCTCAGCTTCATTCTTCATTTTTAAGATTTCTATGACCATGAATTTTTAGGGTAAGTTTATATTATGACCATTTAAGGTTCCATGAATTTTTATGGTAAGTGTGTTTCTGAAAAAAAAAATCACTGAGATTTTCACAGGGATTACATGATGAATTTATAGACTGTGTTGAGCAATTCTGATTTATTCTGGTCTCTCTGTGACAGCTTTGTGTCTTGCTACTTCATTGAAATCACTATTACCTCTATCTGTGTGAACATGTTTATCGTTTGGTTTTGAACATGCAAAATCGTATCGTCTCTAGAGAGACTTTTACCTCTTCCTTCCTAATTAGGGTGCCTTCTGTTTATTTTTCTTTGCTTAATTTTTCTGGCTAGGGCTTCAGCTTGGTTGTTAACTAGAGGCGTTGCGCTCTGCCTCACATCTCTGAATCCTGATCCACTCAACAGGACACTATAAAATCGTCCTTCCAAGAGCTAGCCTTCAGCCTGTACCCTTTACGGCTTGTCTTCTGTGTGTGCTCAGTTGTGTGTTTAGTATTTCTTTCCTCCTACTTCAGATTTACTGTGTTCTTCTTTTTCTACTTAAGGAAACTCTTAGAACACTGGGCTCAGCCATTTTTAATTTCTGATAATATTATCTGAAGGTCTAAATTCCCTTGCATCACTCTCTGAGTCTGCCTCAACCTCGAGGCTGCGTGGGATCTGAGGTGTGGTACCCAGCTCACTCTGAGTATAGGAACTTTCACAGTGGCCTACTTCCCTTCTCCTTCAAAACTGGAAAGAGACCTGTTTCCTAGATAGTTCCAATCGCTCTTCTACGTGATGTTGTCCATGGTAACCTTCCCTGCACACTGCTTTCTGTTGATCTGCACAGAAGAATCATAGATGATGTGCTTAGCTGGAGAACGGAAATACACAAAGACCACGATGAACCTCACAGAGAGACCTGCACGCTGTTGTTTCAGAACGAGAGAGGCGCCTTTCTTACCGTCTGCGGTCTCCAGCACATTCCGGCCGTGCCCTCGAGGAATGCCTCGCACAGAGGCCATCTGTGGGCGCTCGTAGGCTGAGTGCTCCACAAGCCCGGTGGTAACATCCGGCGGGGCAGAGTGCAGATCTGGGTTTTGGAAAAACATACCCAAATAACAGTGATTAATTCAACAGGCATGAAGCTTCTATTCAAACCTGTCACTCTGAAGTTTTGCTCTCTGAGCTCTAAGCAGGGGATGAGGTGGCTCAATTCAACTCTCGAATGATACAGACCTAGAACTACCAAGTACATCGGAAGTGCACAGGGAACCTGCCTCTTAACAACACTGCCTAACAATTGTTTCATTATGAAAAGCAAACGGCCTTCTGACTTCCCCCAAAGTAGGCTGGATGGTATGAAGACATCATCTTTGTAGGCCCAAGGATAAAAGCACAAGTAGAGGATGCAGAGATGGTGAGGCAGTGAGGAGCACTGGCTACTCTTGCAGAGGACCAGGGTTCAGTTCCCAGCACCCACACGGCAGCTCACAACTGCCTGCAGCTCCAGTTCCAGGGCATCCAACACCCTCTTCTGGCCTCCTTAGACACTGCATGCTCATCAGGATATATGTAGGCAAAATAATCATGTACATAAATCTTTTTAAAACAAAGTACAAAAAGCAGTCCCAGTCCGGCATTAAACAAGCCTTTAATACCAGTACTTCAGGAGACAAGGGCAGGCAGATCTAAGGTCAAGGCAAGCCTGGTCTACATATCAAGATCCAGAGTTACATGGTGAAACCCTGTGTCTGGAAATTTTTTTTTAATTAAATACAAAAACTAAAACTGTCCCATATGCTAGTTAAAAATTTTCTGCAGTGAGCCAGATGCACCATAATTGATGCACACCTGTAAGTCTAACTGTTTGGGAGACAGAGACAGAAGGGTCACAAGTTCAAGGCCAGCCTGTATAGTTATAACACAACCCATCTCAAATGAACAAAATATTTTCTAGATTAAGAGACCACAGTCAGCTTAATATATAATCAATTAATGTTATATTTAAGGCAGATTGCATGAAATACAACTGAAATTATTCCTTTCTTTTTTTCAACATAATTTTTTTGTTTAATTTTCATGAAACAGGACTTTGATCTGTTCTAAAAACTGACTATAATTTGGTACTGAATTTTCATTACCATTGGACCTGCTACGAGAGAGAGTAACTGTAGAAGGAGGCATGGTGGCACACACTGGGTGCACACTCAGTGCAGAGAGTCTGTGTGTGATGAAGGCTGGAGATCTGCAGAATTTACATGACTGTGCTCCTTATCTCTCTCAAGACTCTGCTTATCTTAAGACTCCGATGCTTCAATTCTAATCATCTACCATTTCATTAGCTTAGATAAAAGTCAGAGAAAGATCTGAATGTATAGGAAGAAAGAAAATATACAGGACAAAACACACACTTGCTATTATATAACAGAATACAGATTTGTGAAAAAAAAATCAAAAACTTCAGTGGCTGTTTTCACAGCCCGAGAAAAGGCCTGGTGATGGGCAAACTTTCAAGTATGACTCTCTGGAAGACCTTCTGGTTTATAAAGAAACATCCCTGTGCTTCCAAACCTAGCAAGAAGAACAATGATTATACGAGAATATATGAAAAGATGGTAACTTATATACTACAAAGTATATAACAGCTTCATAAAGCTAAACTTTTCTTTACAAAGCTATCACGCTAAACACTGCTTTTGAAGATAGATGTTTTACCTTTGTCAAAATGTTTAATGTATTTTATTTCTTCAATCCAAAAACAGACAATGATTCTTAAAAAAAAATACCTTTACCTAAAAAGTTACACCTCAAATTTTTTACTTAATATACTACTGTTCTTCCTATATTTTTCCTGCATTCAGCTGAAGAGCTGTATCAGAGCGAGAAGCTAAAACAGCGGCTTTATAACGAGGACAGGGAAGGTGGGTACGCACTGAGTTTCCCCTAGGCCAATGACCGAGGAGCTTTATAGTTCAGAAATCAGAGTAGTGTAAATCTGGGACAGTTACACACTCCACTAGTTAAGCGTTCCTAACAGAAACTCTGGAACATTCCAATGTGCCACTCTAAATCTCAGACTTGAGATTAAGGAAGTTAAACCTGAATTTAGAAATCAAGTTAAGAGACAATGAGACAGCTCAGTGGATAAAATCACTTGCCATGAACTCTAACCTCAGCTCAGTCCCTGGGATACATAGTAGAAGGAGAGAACTGACTGCCAAATGCACACTGTGGCACATTCACACACATACACATTCACGTGACCACACATACACACACACACACACACATTCATGTGACCACACATACATACATACACACATACACACACACATTCATGTGACCACACATACATACATACACACACACATACACACACACACACACACACACACTAACAAAGCTGGGTCTGCAGGTAAAGGCAATAGCCACCAAGCATGACGACCTGAGCTCATTCTGCAGAACCGACATGGTAGGAAGAGAGAATCAGCTCCCACAAGCTTCCCACAGACCTCCACCCATGTCCTTCATGCACACACGCACACGCACAAAATAAATAACTTAAAATGTATTTAAAATCAAAAGAACAAATAAATAAAATTTAGAAATCAAGCTAACTGTGCTCTTCAGCTATCCAATAGCATATCAATACTATATCTGCAGGAAGGGATTAGAATCCAAACTGAGATTTGTTGTTTTAACTGAGTAGAATCAATCAATGCTAGGCCGAGCATGTCAGAAGAGAAAAGGACCCTCACGGCACACCTGCAGGAGACAGGATGGATCACCCACCAGCACAGGCAGCACAGCTACCTTATAAATACCTACAGCCACATCTTCTTCAGAGAGAGAACACACCTAACTCTAGCACACACCAGGGTAAGTTCTTGTTAAGATAGCCATAGCAGAACACAGAAGCCCTGACGCTGTCTGACCGAATGCTGAGAGCCAGGGCTAGTTTGGCATTCTATACATGATCAAGGAAAAACAGCCTGGCAGTAACAAGCCTTTAATGCTGTGTGCTCTTGGGTCCTGCCCCCTGAGAAAGCGCCTCAGACAACAGAGACAGGAAACTGAGAATTACTCAGAGGGTAAGAGAGCATGCTGGGCAATCAGGAGAGTTTGGGTTCAAATCCCAGGGATGCAGGGATGTGTGAGACTATAGTCGCAGCACTGACTGTTCAGTGGGGCTGCTGGCAGCCAGCCTAACTCCAGGATTAGTAAGAGATCCTGTTTCAAGGGAAAAGGGTAGATAAAGCGGGATAGTCAATGTTCTTGACTGGCCTCCCCAAATACTGTGCATGTGTGTGTGTGTCTGTGTGTGTGCGTGCGTGTGTGCCTGTGTGTGACCACACACAGGTACACACGCACACACACACACCCCACTAAACAAGTAAATGCAGAACAAAACCAAAATAAAAGCCTCCAGAGAAACAGGAAAGGAAAGTAATGGCTGTTTTCCTGCTCCAGACTGTCAAGATTCCTTGAGGAAATGTAGACCACAGCCAACAGCCACACAGGAAACAAGCAAGCCACAGACACCCTGGAGGCAACGGCTCTAATGGCTACCTCCTCTTGTGGCCCCACTATTCATGCAGCTGCTCTGTGGGCAAGAAGCACGATGTGGCAGAGTCTCCCCAGGACACGAGCTGCAGTGGGAAACAGATGTTCAGCAGATTACAGGAACTATATAGGGACTCAAGGAATAAAAATCAAAGAGCCACACTGACAGGCCCCATGGAGGATGGTGAGACAAACCCCAGGCTACGAGGAGAAACCCGGCCACTCACCCCTAATCCAGCCAGCACAGCAGACAGGAAAAGAACTCAGAAGACAGTCCCAGCACCACCTACTGTGGCTTGCAGAAACCCTTCCTGCCCCACCAGCCAGTCCTGATACACAGCAAATGGTCACCACCCCAGTTCCAGCAGAATAAAATGAAGGCGACAACAGCTCTGGTACCAGCACCCTTCCCCACTACTGAGTGAGATCTCAGGCAAGCTGTCCTCCTTCTTTTGAAGGTCCTGGGACACCAATGTCGGTGGGCTTCACATACAGCTAATCACAAAACTACTTACATACTGGGTTTCAAATGGCTCAAGGAGTCTTCCCAAGATCTCTAACATCCAAGAGCTTTACAACTGAGAAGAGTCCTGTATCTTTAAGACTAGACTGACATCTTGTTTTTAGCAAGACTATCTATAGGAAGAAAGTCAGATGGAAGCTATCGCCTTAGCCCCCATATCAGGGCCTGTGTACAAGGGCAGCAGACAGCCCTGACAGCCCCAGGAGAGACACTGACGAGAGAGTCAGGCGCAGGATGGCCAGCACAACCACCTGGAAAGCAGAAAAGGACCCCAGGACATCAAGAGACCAGCATGTTGCTGAGGCCAGGGACATGCCCCGCCAGTCTGGAACTGCCAGGCCACAGGATTATAAAAGTGCTTTTGTCCCTAAAAGACACATCCCAGATAAGAAAGAGGTGGATCTGGATGGAGACAAAAATTTAGCAACAGAGACATTTTGTTCCACCTAATCTGGGTGCCAAGTTATCTGAGTGTGACCCCATTGTGATCAAATGTGATTATTAAAAGCTAAAAGCCAGCTGATATCTCAGGCAGACAAGGCACTGTGTGACATCTGGCTCATGACCTCAGTCACTTGACAGTGGTCCTCTGTCTCGGACAATCCTGACCCTTCCCGGTGGGCGGGGCTGGGCAGCTGTTACTGACCTATGTGGGCGTGGGCCATGAGGCCTGTAAGCGCAGTGGAGGCACTGGGAGCAGCAGCAGGTCTCCCTCCCGGGTGGGATGAGGTGGAGGATGCAGAGGATGAGGTGGACGAGCCCTGAATGACCCTGTCGAGCCAGGGCTCGATGCCGGAATGGCTCTGGAGCAGAGTGGAGGTGAGTCGCCCAGGTCGCCGTAAAGAGCCCTCATCTTCTGAGGCAGATGACGTGTCTGTGGTTAAAATAACGATGACAAGCATGATGTAGGGATGGGTCAAGATGGGAAAAGGATCTCCCACTTGTCTCTAGGCCTGAAGTACAGTTCTACTCTGCATGGTAAGTGGGTACCTCGAAAGTCAGTTCCGTTTAGAGGGGCACATAAGAAGTCCCACTTCTGGGAAGTGATCCCGTGTGTCCTAGAATCCCCAGAGAGGTCTTGGCCACTGGATGTCACACACGAGGAATGGAAACAGCTTTTGTCCCCTACACCTAAGAAGCCCCAACTGTGATGTGCTCTGTGAGCGTCCAGCACTCACCACTGTCTGTCCACACGGCCTGGCACCACATCCACAGGTCAGTATCCTATAGGTGCCCAGCCACAGCCCACACCCCAGGTCCTAGCCTATGCATCTTATGTCCTAGCCTGTGCAGGAAAGCCGCCACCCTGTAGATGCTGGGAGACTGGGGCCCTGTCTACGTCTGCGTTCACAGGGAACACAGGAGAAGTCACTCTGGAAAGAATTCCTTCTTCAACATAATCACTTCAGCTCGCAAAATTGTTTGCCCCATCAAGTCAGCATACCTGCATTTTATTATGGGTCTATAGTTATTAAAACGTTCTTCACTGTGGGCTGGTGCCTACAGCTTTATTAGCAGAAACAATAATGAGACAGTAGTTTCTAAAGACTTCCCTCAACCATAAGCTTTCCTTTAAAGGGAAGAAGCACCCTACCGAAGCTGCCAGATCACCTTGCAAATCTTGGACGTTCGGTCTTTACTGTTTTAATAATTCTAAATGCATAGGTCAAAGGTGATTGTCAACTTTTTTTTTTTTACTCAGTAACAGGAGGGGCAGCTGTGGAGATTCGTGGATGTTAAGCCACCAGATGCCAGCACTCACTCTGGTTTAACGGCCGTTAGAAAGAAAACTTATATCATTTCTAGTGATAACATCGTCAGTGATAAAACAAACATTAAATGGTCCTGTTGGAGACGGGGCCAACTGGGGACAGGGTGAAAAGACAGGGGCACAACAGATCAAGGGCACAAGGTAGAGTAATTTTAAAATTCAGTTCGAGAACTCTGCACATTCCACTAAGTGCCTGGTTTTGGTTTATGTAAAATCCATACAAAAATCCCACTACAGTATAAGTCTCTACCCAGATTAAAAAAAAAAAATACCAAGGCTACTATAGATTCGTAGGTAAGGATTATGCACACATGTAAACACTTTTAATTTCTAGATTTCTCAAACCTGTACCACAGGCTATAAGGATATTCCAATTCAATGAAAATAAACCAGCCAGGCAGTGGTGGTGCACGCCTTTAATCCCAGCACTTGGGAGGCAGAGGCAGGAGGATTTCTGAGTTCGAGGCCAGCCTGGTCTTCAGAGTGAGTTCCAAGACAGACAGGGCTATACAGAGAAACCCTGTCTCAAAAAAA